CCCAAAGACCAAGCAGTAGCCTTGCTCTGGGTCGTTTATAGGGGGCCAGGTGTGGCTCCACTTCCTAGGGTTCAGTTTAAGGAAGTCCACTGGAGGAGGCAGGCTTCCAGCCAAGGGTGGGATCACTGCAAAGGGTAGGAAATAAGGGAGAAGAGTCCCACAGTGCCTCCTAAACCTTGCTTTGGGGGCCAACTTGTATTTCTATTCCAGCTTCTGCTGCCACATACATCCATCATTCAGGAAATGTTTACTGAGCACCTAGGGACTGGGGATACTCGGAACAAAACAAAGATCCTGGCCCTCATTGTCACACAACTGGGGAGAGATGGAAAGCTAATTAAACAGTGTTTGTGGTAAGTGTTCAAAAAGAACATAGCACCGACAGATAGCACAAAGTGCTTTTAAATAGAGTAGTCAGGCAAGATGAATGTGAAGATGAGGTTGGCAAGCCAGATAGAAGTCTGTGAGAAGACCATTTCAGTCCTCCCTGCGGGGATGGAGGGGCTCTGGGGCAAAAGCATGGCTACAGCAGCGGGCAATTGCTGGATAGTAATAGGAGTTGAGATCAGAGGGAACCAGGTCAGATCTTAAGAGGCCTGAGGTCATAGAGAGGACTTGGGCCTTCACTCTGAATAGTATGGAAAGCCATGGGAGTATCTTGAGCTTGATCTGATCTCCATTTGAGCCAAGATGATTTCAAGGGAGCTGTCAGGAAAGACTAGTGATATTTATTAGATAATGGTTGCTTTGCAAATGCCAAAATAGCAAGAAAGAAGTTTCTTCCAGACACCTTCTGTTTCAGGTAAGCAGCTCTAACTTTACAGGGGATGTTTTGGGTCTTCAAATGACAAGCTGTTAGAGGAGTGGCACCTGATGCATAGCGGGCAGGGTCAAGAATGCCAAACAGCCTGCAATACCCTGTGCATCCTCACCTACAGCTTTACTCTGAGTGGCTGTGGCTCCCGCCCACCAAGGTCTGTATTCTAGCCACCTGAAAGGGAACAGAGAGGAAAAGTTCTAAACATGGCTCAAGGACCCTGGTGGATCCCTGAGTCCCTTTCACAAGATTCATGAGGTTATTACTATTTTCATAATGCAAAAATGCACCGTGAAGTTTTCCAGAAGCTAAGTGACAGGTAATATTGCAACAGATTGAATGCAGAAGCAGCCTTATTGCCCTTGGCAGTGGGGCTGGGGTGTGAGCAGACCACTCTTCAGACACCAGCAATGATAGCTTAGGTGCATTTTATTGGTTTTCTTTCAGAGTCATTCTACAAAAGAACAAAGTTAAAAACCAAGGCCCTGGCAAGAGGGTTTGAACCTTTCTCATTGCAGGAGCCCTCCCCTGTTCCTCCATGTCCCCAACTGTGTCACTGCTGCAGTTCATGGGGATGGAGGGCTTGCTACATTTGCCCCCCCACCAAACCCAAAAAGGGAAAGACCTACCACCTAGAAACTCCTTCCCCTCACCCCAATTTCCCTCAAGTTGATCCTGGTTACAGAAGGCCGTGGTAAGAACTGTTGGGATCCTGCAGGAGTTCTGAACCCCAGAAGGTCATGGCCAGGGCACCGTCTGTGAAGAGCACATTGTCCTCTGGCTCAGCACCCCTTAGGAACAATGTTGGACTCAGCACCTGGGAGTAGAGAGAAAAATCAGTGAAAACCCATCAACTTCAACACCAGCTGCCCCAGAAATTGAGAAACTCAAGACCCATATATAAGGTTGGGCAGGTTGTACACAGCACAAAGGTGCCACAGCTAAGTAGGCACCATATTCGCATCATAGACACCGTCCATAGGTTTTATATTTATCACAAACATTTATTAAAAGCCATGAGCAGCAGCCTCCCCTGCCCCATACCCCTGCAGTTACCACCTCACTCCCAGAGGCCAGGTGCACTCTCTCAGGCCAGGGAGGACCGGAGGTCAGGGCCTTAGCTGGGAGCTGGTGCAGGTAGATACACTCAGATTTGAAGGGGCAGCGGCCATTCCCTCGCACGAAGAACCGGCATCGGATCTGGCTATGAGAGAGAAGACGACCATCGCCTTCAAGACCTGTTACCCCAAGAACAAGGGGCGCTCGAGGCTGACACATAAGGCTGGGCAGGCTGTACACAGCACTAAAGCCCTACACCTAAGCGGACACCACTAGCATCTTAGTGTAGCTTTTATATTTATTCAATCTTCCAGCAGATGGCAGTAAAGCATCTTAAGGGGCCCCTTTCTGTAATTCTCAGTCTCCGTTTGGGCCAGCAATAGCAGTGACCCTGGGAACCTCCTTTCATTTTTCTGGGTTTTTTTGTTTGTTTTTGGGGTTTTTGTTTGAGATGGAGTCTTGCTCTGTCACCCAAGCTGGAGTGCGGTGGCACAATCTCAGCTCGTTGCAACCTCTGCCTCCTGGGTTCAAGCGATTCTCCTGTTTCAGCCTCCCAAGTAGCTGGGACTACAGGTGCATGCCACCACGTGTGGCTAATTTTCGTATTTTTAGTAGAGATGGGGGTTTCACAATATTGGCCAGGCTGGACTTGAACTCCTGACTTCAGGTTATCCAACCATCTTGTCCTCCCTAAGTGCTGGGATTCCAGGTGTGAGCCACTGTGCCCCCAATTTTTTTGAGATGGAATTTCACTTTTGTTGCCCAGGTTGGAGTACAGTGGCATGATCTGGGCTCACTGAAACCTCCGTTTCCCAGGTTCAGGAGATTCTCCTGAATCAGCCTCCCAAGTAGCTGAGATTACAGGCACCCACCACCACACCCATCTAATTTTTTTTGTATTTTTAGTAAAGACAGGTTTTCACCATGTTGCCCAGGCTGGTCTCGAACTCCTGACCTCAGATAATCTGCCCATCTTGCCCTCCCAAAGTGCTAGGATTACAGGCGTGAGTCACCATGTCTCGCCTTTTTTTTTTTTTTTTTTTTTTTTTTTTGAGGCAAGGTTCTTGCTTTATCACCCAGGCTGGAGTACAATGAATGGCATGATCATGGCTCACTGCAGCCTTGACCTCCTGGGGCTCGGGTGATCCTCCTGCCTGAGCCTCTCGAGTAGCTGGGACTACAAGTATGTGCCATCATGCCTGGCTAATTTTTGTATTTTTTGTAGAGATGGGGTTTCACCATGTTGCCCAGGCTGGTCTCAACTCCCAGACTCAAAAGTTCCTCCCCCTCAGCCTCCCAAAGTTCTGGGGTTACAGGCGTGAGCCACCATGCACAACCCCTCAGCTGCTGCTTCTACAGTATGAGGATAGTAAGAGTCCCTGTTTCATGCAGTTTATGACGTACAAAGCCTGTCACACAATAAACCTCCATCTACACCATCTCCTATCACATCCAGGCCTGAGAGCTCCCCTTGGGAAACTTCCAACTAGTGGCCCAGCTGCCAGTACAGTTGCTGTTGAATAACATAGGCTTGAACTGCCTGGGGCAGCTTATATGCAGACAAGATCCTGGAGCCAACAAGACCAATTCCCTCCTCTTCCTCTTCATCCTCCTACTCAATATGGATAAAGTCTTTAATAGTAATCTGCTTCCACCTAATGAATAGTAAATATATTTTCTCTTCCTTATGATTTTAATGTTTCTTTTCTCTAGCTCACTTTATTGTAAGAATACATATTATGCTATATAATACATATAACATATAAAATCTGTATGAATTGACTTTATGTTGTCCAAAAGGGTTCTGGTCAGCAGCATGTTATCAGCAGTTAAGTTTTAGGGGAGTTAAAAGTTATACATGGCCAGGTGTGGTGGCTCACGCCTGTCATCCCAGCACTTTGGGAGGCTGAGGCAGGCGGGTCACTTGACCTCAGCAGTTCAAGAGCAGCCTGGGCAACATGGCAAAACTCTGTCTCTACAAAAAATACAAAAATTAGCCAGGCTTGGTGGTACGTGCCTATAGTCCCAGTTACTGGGGAAGATTTCTTGAGCCCAGGAGGCTCAGGCTGCAGTGCGCCGAGATTGCACCACTGCACTCCAGCCTGAGCAACAGAGCGAGGCTCTGTCTCAACAACGGCAACAACGACGACGACGTTATACATGGATTTTCGACTGCTTGGGGTTCGGTGCCCCTAACCCCTAAGTTGTTCAAGGATCAACTGTATTTCCACTCTTCCACCTGTCTGCCTGGGGCGTCCTCTTTTTTCTCCTCCTGAGGAACCCTGTTCTTCCCATGCGCAGCTTCAATACTTCCCCTTCTGTGACATTCACTCGAGTTAGTTTTCCCTTCAGTAATTTTGTTGATGCAGCTATTAGAGTTCACAGGTGTCTCCAGAAGAAGGCTGACTATCTCCTGGTGAAGACAAGACCTCCTTCTTTATCCTTCCCTATACACTTTGCATAGATCAAGTGTAGTAAATCCTTTGGGAAGGTGGAATTAGGAACTTGGAATTGCAGCTCATTCCAGATTTTGAATAAGTGCTTACCCTCCCCAAGAGATTCAGACCTACCCAACATTTCCCCATCGGCAAAGGCTGTCTTTCAGCCCCCTTCTCAGCCACCCCATGTTTTCAAAGAGCAGCTAAGCAAATAACATGTATTCGAATCAGTTTGTTTTCCCGTCTTATGATCAATTGGAAATAAAAGCCAAAGCAGGGCTTCTCATGGTACAGAGAAAACCAGAGTTGCTCTGAGTTGATTCTGAGCCAAGTTAGAAGAGAAAATTGGCCCTGGTGTTCCTTCTGCTATCTCAGGCACTCCCCGTTTATTAACTGGGCTTTCTTTTTCTTTTTTCTTTTTTTGAGACAGAGTTTCACTCTTGTTGCCCAGGCTGGAGTGCAGTGGCACGATCACAGCTCACTGCAACCTCCACCTCCAGGGTTCCAGTGATTCTCCTGTCTTAGCCTCCCGAGTAGCTGGAATTACAGGTGCCCGCCACCACATCTGGCTAATTTTTGTATTTTTACTAGAGATGGGATTTCACCATGTTGGCCAGGCTGGTCTCAAACTCCTGACCTCAGGTAATCCGTCCACCTTGGCCTCCCAACGTGTTGGGATTACAGGTGTGAGCCACCATGCCTGGCCTTATTAACTGTGCTTTCTGAAATCATGAAAATAGTTCATGCCTTCACCTGCCATTTTGGTCACTCTAAACTTCAGGGTTTTGAGGATTCACTGGCTGGGGACCATGGCTGAACCGGAATGAATCAGGGGCTACCTCCTCCACTTGCCTAACCCTGAGTCTTGTTCCCTCTGCAGCCTTACCTCGTCCGAGCCTTGAAGTTCCTGATGAGTTGCTCCTTGTGGGCCCCCTTGCTCACCCAGAATTTGTGGGGGATGATGTAGCTGGAATGGACACGGCACTGGGGACACGCCCTGCAAGGCAGTGGAGTAGAAGGTGGGAGAATAGTCACAGGCCCCCAGGCCGGCCTCCTCCCTAGGGTGTTTCCCTCCCTCCCTGTTGGCACCTCCATGACACTGACTTGATGACATCCAGCGGGAAGTCCTGCCGGTTCTTCCGCCAGGTGCGCAGGCAGCCCAGACAGTGGGCGTGGGTGCAGTTGGGCAGGATGCCGAAAACCCGCTGAGCCTCTGGCTTGTCCCACACTTTGTCCATGCAGATGCCACACACCACATCCCGACTGTCCTGCTTCCCAGGCAGCCACAGGTAGGGTCAGACACTCCACCCGCATGCCCACATTCAGCCTCAGGTGCCACCAAGCCCTCCAGTCCCTCCTCCCACAGCAGGTCTGGGTGTCCCAGAGGTCCAGAAAGCCATCTTTTGCCACCCCTCACCCACAACCTGCTGCACCTCAAGGTCCAGGCTCTGAAGGGGTGCCATGAGCTCTCGGACAAGGTGGAACTTCGGCAGAGACTCCTGGGAGTGGCCGTGATTCCCGTCAGCAGCTGTTGGGAAAACTGCATCCATTCACTCACCCCTGTGGCAACCACTGAGCATTTTCTGCACACAAGGCTCTGTGGTAACCCACATCCTGCCCCCAGATGGGTTAGAGTACAGTCAGAATTAGAAGCCTCTCATATAGGCCAGGCTCGGTGGCTCACACCTGGAATCTCAGCACTTTGGGAGGCCAAGGCAGGTGGATCACCTGAGGTTAGGAGTTTGAGACCAGCCTGGCCAACATGGTGAAACAATCTCTAGTAAAAATACAAAAATTAGCCAGGTGTGGTAGCAAGTGCCTGTAATCCCAGCTACTCGGGAGGCTGAGGCAGGAGAATCACTTGAACACAGGAGGCAGGTGTTGCAGTGAGCTGAGATCATGCCATTGCACTCTAGCCTGGGCGACAGAGGAAGACTTCATCTCAAAAACAAAAAAACCCAGCCTGTAATCCCAGCACTTTGGGAGGCCGAGGCAGGCAGATCACGAGGCCAGGAGTTCGAGACCAGCCTGGCCAATATGGTGAAACCCTGTCTCTACTAAAAATTCAAAAATTAGCCAGTCTTGTTGGCATGCGCCTGTAGTCCCAGCTACTCGGGAGGCTGAGGCAGAAGAATCGCTTGAATGGGGAGGCGGAGGTTGCAGTGAGCTGAGATCGTGCCACTGCACTCCAGCCTGGGAGACAAAATGAGACTCCGTCTCAAAAAAAAAAAAAAAAAAAAAAAAAAAGAAGCCTCTCCTATAGCCATTTAGAACTGTGCTGTCCAATATGTAACCAAGAGCCATATGCGGCTCTTGAGCTACTGAAATGGGGCGAGTCTGAGTTGACACCTGCTATAAGTAGAAAATAGGGCCAGACGCAGTGGCTCCTGCCTGTAATCCCAAAACTTTGGGAGGATGAGGTGGGTAGATCGCTTGAGCTCAGGAGTTGGAGACCAGGCTGGACAACATGGCAAACTCTGTCTCTATCAAAAATAAAAAAATAGGCCAGGTGCAGTGGCTCACACCTGTAATCCCAGCACTCTGGGAGGCCGAGGCGGGAGGATCATGAGGTCAGGAGATCAAGACCATCCTGGCTAATACAGTGAAACCCTGTCTCTACTAAAAAAATACAAAAAAATATTAGCTGGGCGTGGTGGCAGGCACCTGTAGTCCCAGCTACTCAGGAGGCTGAGGCAGGAGAATGGTGTGATCCCGGGAGGCGGAGCTTGCAGTGAGCCAAGATGGTGCCACTGCACTCCAGTCTGGGTGACAGAGCGAGACTCTTTCTCAAAAAAAAAAAGGATGAAGTACTGATACATTCTACAATATGGATGAACCTAGAAAACATCACACTCAGTGAAAGCAGCCCGACACAAAAGGCCACATGTTGTAAGATTCCATTCAAATGAAAAGTTCAGAACAGCCAAACCACAGAGACAGAATGTGGATTAGTGGTTACCAGAGGCTGGAAGGGCGGAGGATGAAAGTGACTGTTAATGGGATGATAAAAATGTTCTAAAATTAGGTAGCAGTGATGTTTGCATAACTTTATGAATTAACACACTGAATTGTATAAATTGGTGAATTTTTTGGTTTGTGAATTATATTTCAATAAAGCTGTTATAAAAATTACATATGTGGGCTGGGCGCAGTGGCTCACGCCTGTAATCCCAGCACTTTGGGAGGCTGAGGCGGGCGGATCACGAGGTCAGGAGATCGAGACCATCCTGGCTAACACCGTGAAACCCCGTCTCTACTAAAACTACAAAAAAATTAGCCAGGCGTGGTGGCGGGCGCCTGTAGTCCTAGCTGCTCAGGAGGCTGAGGCAGGAGAATGGCATGAACCTGGGAGGTGGAACTTGCTGTGAGCCGAGATTGTGCCACTGCACTCCAGCCTGGGCAACAGAGCAAGACTCTGTCTCAAAAAAAAAAAAAAAAAAGAAAGAAAAAAAAAATTACACATGTGACTTAAATTTCTTTATAATCTAACTAACATTGATTTAGAGCAATAATTTTAAAAATAGCCAGACTGGGCACAGTGGCTCACGCCTGTAATCCCAGCACTTTGGGAGACCAAGGCAGGCGCATCACGAGGTCAGGAGTTTGAGATGAGCCTGACCAACATGGTGAAACCCCATCTCTATTAAAAATATAAAAATTTGGCTGGGCGCAGTGGCTCAAGCCTGTAATCCCAGCACTTTGGGAGGCCGAGACAGGCGGATCGCGAGGTCAGGAGATCGAGACTATCCTGGCTAACACGGTGAAACCCCGTCTCTACTAAAAAAATACAAAAAACTAGCCAGGCGTGGTGGTGGGCACCTGTAGTCCCAGCTACTCGGGAGGCCGAGGCAGGAGAATGGCATAAACCCGGGAGGCGGAGCTTGCAGTGAGCTGAGATCCGGCCACTGCACTCCAGCCTGGGCGACGGAGCGAGACTCCATCTCAAAAAAATAAATAAATAAATAAATAAAAATTAGCTGAGCGTGGTGGTGCATGCCTGTAATCCCAGCTACTTGGGAGGCTGAGGCAGGAGAATTGCTTGAACCCTGGAGGCGGAGTTTGCAGTGAGCTGAGATAGTGCCACTGTACTCCAGCCTGGGTGACAGAGGGAGGCCCTATCTCAAGAAAATAAATAAATAAAATAAAAAATAGCCACTAACATTTAGTGCATACTCTGCACCAGGTACTGTGCTAAGCATATCAACCCTCAAAATGACCCTGTGAGTTAAGTATCATTATCAATGCCATTTTGTAGATCAAGAAACCGAGGCCCAGAGAGGTTAAGTGACTTGTCCAAGATCACACAGCTACTAGGTGGTAGGGCCAGGATTTGGAACTAGGGGTTTGACTCCATAAGCACCATGGTATTCTGCTTTTAGAACACAGAGCAACGGAACTAGAGGAAAATTTCCCTCCAGCCGGGAATCTTGAAGAGGAAGGGGAATGGATGAAAATATAAACCCTGCTCAGAGGCAGAGCACAAGCCCTAGTCTCAGTGCCCACTTGTGCCCACCTGCGGTGCCCCTGATGACTCACATGATGAAGGCAGGGACTTCCAGGAGCTGCCGCCAACCTCCTCAGCCTTGCTGGCCAGCCCCTCCAGGGTAGGCTCCATGCCCCAGCAGGCCCTGGCCCAGCCCCAGCCCCAGCCCACAGACACAGAGGGCAGGTAGGTGGGCTCAGATCCCCTGCGGGCCAGTCCTAGGTGGGACCCCGGCAGAGTGACGCGTGGCTCCGAATGGCGGCGACCCCACTCCAGGGGGCTGGGGGTCTTTGGGTGCTGACAGCTGTAGTGGGGAAGAAGAGAATGAGGAGACAGGGACAGCCCTCCAGGGCTCAGAGCCAGCTTAGCCTAGAACTTGGAGCTGAGTTAGGAGAAGCAGCTCTGGGAAGATACATGATTTGTGAAGGGACTATCTCTCTAGTGTCCCACCCTGACACCACTTCCCCAGAGGGGAAGAAGCGGGACTTACCTGCATTGATCTCCACGATGTCCAGGGAAGCAGAAGCCTTGCTGGAAATACTTGCAGACCTGGGACACCTTTCCATCATGAGCAAAGCGATGCCTCGACCCCCAGTGATGGGCCCGGAAAACAAAGTTCCTAAGAGATTGTCTGAGTCATGCCCAGCCCTGTTTTAGTTCCTGCCTTTGTGATCCTTACAAACAGAGGCTATCTGGTATGGTAAGAAAAACACAGATTCTGGAATTCATCTGGTGTTCAAATCCTGACCCCACTGGGAACACTAGGTGAGTAACTCACCTTCTCTAAAGCTTGGTTTCCTCACTCCTAAAAGTGGGGTAACAGGCTGGGCGCGGTGGCTCATGCCCATAATCCCAGCACTTCGGGAGGCAAAGGCAGGTGGATCACCTGAGGTCAAGAGTTTGAGACTAGCCTGGCCAACATATTGAAACCCTGTCTGTACTAAAAATACAAAAATTAGCCAGGCATGATGGCAGGCACCTTGGACTACTCAGGAGGCTGAGGCAGGGGAATTGCTTGAACCCTGGAGGTGGAGGTTGCAGTGAGCCAAGATCACGCCACTGCACTCTAGCCTGGTCAACAAGGATGAAACTCTGTCTCAAAAAAAAAAGAGGGGGGATGGTAACAATGCCGAGTCCTTGCTGAGTTGTTGCAAAGCATTTTAAGATTTTTCACAATCAACCTGGCTTGGAGGCTCACGCCTGTAATCCCAGCACTTTGGGAGGCTGAGGCGGGCAGATCACCTGAGGCTGGGAGTTCGAGACCAGCCTGACCACATGGAGAAACCCCATCTCTATTAAAAATACAAAATTAGCCGGGCCTGGTAGCACATGCCTGTAATCCCAGATACTTGGGAGGTTGAGGCAGGAGAATCACTTGAACCAGGCAGGCAGAGATTATGGTGAACTGAGATTGTACCATTGCACACCAGCCTGGGCAATAAGAGTGAAACTCTGTCTCAAAAAAAAAAAAAAAGATTTTGCACAATGCATACAGCAGGTGCTCGGTGATCACAGTGATGACTATTACTCTCCCCAAATGCAGAGTTGTGGATTCTGGAGTCAGAATTCCAGGTTCACATTCTACCACCAGGACTAGCTTCACCAGTGGGGGCCTGTAAAATCACACAGGGGCCCTACACTTGCATTAATGCTCTGCTGTCCTGGTCTTGAATTTATTCATAGTTTTTGAACGAGGGGTCCCCACATTTTCATTTTGCAATGGGTCCCACAAGTTATATAGCCGATTCTGCCTAGTACCACTACTTCTTGGTTATGTGAGCTTGGACAAGTCACTTAACTTTTCCACGCCTCAGTTTTCTCATTTGTAACATGGGGATAATAGTAGGACCTACTCCATGAGGTGATGTAAAACTGAAACAAGAGCCTGTCTGTGAAGTCCCTGGCCCATAGCAAGCCCTGGGTAAATGACAGCTGTTCTCATCTCTTATCATCTCCCCTCTCCCTCCCCCTTTCCCTCCTCCTCTGGAGAATCAAGGTGGGAGGTCGAGAAGGGTGAGGGGAGGATGAGGTGAGCAAGCATTTAGTGAGTCTCCTCAGTGTCCAGGCCTAGGCTAAGGGTCTGGGACAGGTACCAGGTAGAAAGGAACTCAGTTGTTGACCTTCCCTACCTTGCCCTGAGGGGGAAGGAGCCCACACGAGGTGACCAGGGTAGGGACAGGGACAGGGGCTGCATTCGAGTCCCATGAGAGCAGGCTGGCCCAGCCCGAGCCAAGGGTCTGCTGGA